CATATAAATAGCTTTATTATAATTCATGAAGGGAGTATTACAGATTTTATGGGCACTGCAATGTAAATAGAACAGGGAAGGAGAAACAGAAAAAAAAGAGAAAAGATGAAAGAAAGAGGAGATAAAAGGGTATATATAGGGTATATAAGGGTATGTATATATATACAGTACTAATTCATAACAACACTTATAAGAAATTTTGCAAGGTAAGTGTGTCCAGGTTTTATACACCTTTCAAAGTGTTTTAAAATGGACTGCTTGAAAATGTTTGCATTATGGCAATAGCAAACAATAAACTCAAACTATAAGCTTTCTAAAGAGAAAGGTATCACAAAAGAATATATTAAAGAAGCTTAATAAAAGTTTGAGAGGAAAGAAGCAAGGAAGCAAGCAAGAAGAAGCAAGCAAAGCATTGAAAGGACTGGCAAAACAACACCCATTCAGGTTTGGGTAAAATGCATAAGGCATGGATAATGGCTGAAAAACAGCCACCATGCACAAAGATACAGTACAGAACCTATACCTCTAGCTTGGAGTTTTGCTCAGTAGTCCAACGTCCTATGCTATGATTAAAATACAATTTCTATTCAATTTGGAAAATAATGCACTTCAGAAGCTTAAAAAACTGTTTAATGAACTGATAACAGGCTTGGAGGAAAAACAGATTTTTTTAATAACCTTGATATTTTTCCCAACACAATTAAAAAAAACTTCCAAAACACAGAAAGAATATTACTTGTCTCACCAGAGATTAAAATATATGTCTTTTTTTAATCCCACAAGGTCTGATAACAGTTTTAAAAGGTGCATAATCATCCTGTCGTAGACTTAGACAAACCAATATTGTCATTTTGCGTACACAGAGTGTATACAAAACGCAATTTCGTTTTGTACATCTGTCAAGACATTTCCATTTCTTATAGTGCAGCAGTGATCAAATGCAAAAATTTTGGGAGAAAAAAACATGGTGCAAAAAACGTATTGATATGGTCAGTTCTATGCAGAGCCTGTGACATCATTTAGTGTTTTTTCAACATTCAGCTGTTTGATGGTGGTGGGGAAGAAGCTGTTGCAGAATCTGCTGCACCGGCATCAAATGCTGCAAAGCCTCTTCCCAGAGGGCAGCAGGGAGAACAGTCCATGGTGGGGGTGTGAGGGGTCACTGAGGTGGGCAGGTGGGCTCTCCTCATTCTCTGCAGGATGTATAAGCGCTTTTGTGCCCTTTTGACCAGTGATATGGTGTTTTACATTCCAGGTGAGGTTTTCTGTGTTGTGCACCCCCAGGAATTTGGTGCTGCTGTAGGGCTGGGCGATATAGAAATACAGCTTCATCTTCTCCACACTCAGGATCAGGCTGTTGTCTCTGCACCAATCCACCAGCTGCTCCCCCTCCTCTCTGTAGTCGTGGTCGTTGTCGTCTCTGATGAGGCCCACCAATGTGCTGTCATCTGGAAACTTCCCAATGTGATAGGTGGTGAACCTAGAATGGGCAATTAACCTGCATTTTGGCTCCCAAGGGGGCATCTAGCACAAGTTTTGATTCCAGAGAGGGCACTTTAGTGTGATTTTTGGCTCCAAAGGGGTTCCCTTAACATGCTTTGTGGATCCCAAGAATGCACTTTTAACATGCGCTTTGGCTCCAAATCGGTCACTTTAGCACAATTTTTGGCTCCCAAGGGGGCACTTTAACACACGTTTTGCTCCCTGAAAAGACAATTTAAAATTCACTTTGGCTCCAAAGGGGGTACTTAAGCATGTTTATTGGCTCATGAGAAGGCAATTAATTATTTTTTTTCCCAAGGGGACAATTGAACATTTGGTTGGCTCTCGAGAGGGCAAATTAACAGGCTTTTGGGCTCCAGAGCTGGCAATTTACCTGCATTTAGGCTCCCAAGGGGGCACCCTAAACTTGTATTTTGGCTCCAGAGAGGGCACTTTATGATGCATTTTGGCTCCAGAGAGGTCGATTTAGCATTCATTTTTCCACAGTTAGGCCACAGGGGGAGTTATTACCTCCCCACCTCACTGCTAAGCTCCACCATCAAAAACAAGAAATCACACCATCAATGACTTCAATGGCTACAGACCTGTCAGACAGGGTCTCTGGTCATGAAATTCTTTAAGTAATTTGTGTTGAAGCATCTAGATGGTCTTGATAAATTTGAACAATTAATGATTGTCTTCTTGTTCCTACACCTAATCACATCTGAATCTGCTTACACAGTATCATCCGGAGAATCAGCCAGACCAGTGGAGAAAATGTCTAACAGTCTAAATTCTTAAAAAAGGCAGGAAGGAGTAGGGATACTGTGTGCCTTGTTTAAACCATTTATTTAATCTCTGAAAAGGCACCCTCTCAATTTGTTTAGCAGGTAAACAGGTTAGTAGATGACGCAGTCCAAGGGTGTAGCTTTGTGGTGAAAGTTGGTGGCTGATGGACTTACAGTTACTTGACACAAATGCTTTCAATAGGGTTTGTATTTTCCAAAAATGAGCTCAAGCATATATTTATTGAGTGCTTTCCTATTGTTGAGAACACAAAAGAACAAAAATACAGTTATGTTTATATTTAGTCTATACTTAGACATTAATGTATAAAAAAGAGGATGAATAACAGCCAATTTTGATGCCAGCAGCAATATATCATGCCTCCCTAGAATACACACAATTGTAGTTTAATTCAATCATCCATTCAGGAAAAATGTGGATTGGTTGATGGATGTTTTCCCTTTCAGCTACATCAGTAATTATCCTCCTTCAAAAGCGGCAAAATCAAATTTAGAAAATTGTCCCACATATTGTTGAGAGCCGACGTCTATGTATTGAAATTATTGGTGAGGACATGTCCCCACCAGTCCTTCAAAAAGTTACGCCTGTGACGCAGTCGTTGTGTCAAGATTGAAGTTCATGTTTGTGTGCACAAAATTTGGGCATAAGGTTGATTTTTTATTATTTTGTAAATAAAACTCCTGAAATCAGGTCCATAACTTGTGTATTATTTATCAGGTCACCCTTAAACAATCTGGGAGAGACGCTGGATAGAGGATTTAGGTGAAATTGGAACTTGGGTGCAGGGGCGGAGCTAGGTGGGGGGCCAGGGTCACCCTAACCCAGTCATTGGCCACCCCTACCATTTTTTCCCCTCTAATACAGACGGTGGCAGCAGTAATACTCTCAAGTGGAATGTTTCAACTTATTTTTAATTTTCTTTATGTAAACAATTACCTGACAACAAAAATGCTGTGGTTAATCATGCACATCAATGTATTCCGTAAAAGATAAAAAAAAACAATCCACTGGACTTGGTTTCCAAGTTTTGAAAGCCTCTCGCTTCCCCCCCCCAAGAAGCTTTTTTAATTCAAATGTCTTTTACGGAATGACTATGACCTGAGTGACTGAGAATCTTCATCAGCACACATCAATATACTAACATTAAAGATGATAAATACAGCATTCATGCTCTTTTCAGGACTAGATTTTGTCTTATATTGGGTAAAGAGAAAATGATGTCTCTGCAAGTCATCTAGGAATCTTCACTGAAACCAGAGATAAATAACTATTTTAATAGCAAGTAATCATTTGAATGTAGATATTAGAACAATATAAATTTTATGCAGATTGATTATTAATAAAGTAGGTAAATAATGACAATGAATAAGATGTTCGCCCCAGAATTTAAAGGGGAAAGAATTTTGTCCACTACACCTTTAATTTAGACAGCATGGATGTTTAAATACATGCGTCTATTTGTTAGCAAAGGCTGAAGGAAAGTATAGTTTGTCGTTATTTAGAAAATACTGATATTGTGGTTGTTCATTGTCTTTTTGAAACAGTGTAGATTGACCCTGAGGTTCTGGCACCTATCCACTTGCGGCCACCTCTCAGTGTACATTGGTTATTTTCTGGCCACCCTCATAAAAAATTTCTGGCTACGCCTCTGCTTGGGTGGCGGTAGACGTGTCCATTCACAAGCTTTTCTTTTGAGACAGACGGCAGACAGACGTCACGCTTCCTACGGAGGAGTAATAAAAATACAGATAGAGAATTGAGGAAAAGAATATGAGCCCGGGGTGTAAAGCCAGCAGCACTGCGTCCTATTCCTGCTTCTTCCTCTGGCGCACAGCCTCTGACCGGAGCGCCTCATATCTGGGAGGGGAGGAGGAGCAGGAGGTCTCACTCGGATAGAATTTCGCTGCGACCTGTCGGACCTGCGCTGTGTTATGAGCGGCTTCCTTGGTTTTCCGAGCAGACAGCGGGGATAACTGTACTGTATCTCAGCCTAGCGGATGGGAGTGAAAGTCCGCCATATTCACCACGCCCGGAGAGCAGAGCCGCTGGAAAACAAACCGACAGCCTCGCTCATGTGTTTTTTTCCCCTTTTTTCTCGGCTAAACGGTCAGTGACTTGGAGCAACAAAGGAAGTATTTCAGCGATTTAAAAAATTAAACCAGAAACCATCGCTGAGGACTTTGAGAGAGAGAGAATCTACCGGAGCAGGGCAGCTCAGCGGAGCGGAGGATGTTTTAAAAGGATCTGTTGATCATCCGGAGAAGGAATTATAACAGTTATCAGAGCAAACCTATTCCACTGAAGCCGCTTTATACTCAGTTTGAAGCTTTCAAGAGGCTCGGAAACACATGAAAGAGGCTGACAGCGGGTAGGGGACTCCGGTTATTCCTCTCAGATATCTTATTTTCCGTGCGACTCCCTACAGACACGGTTTATCACAACATCCCGGCCTGTGTGAAGCTTATGGGGTTCCCTCCCCGACAAATGTGAAATTTGGATGACTGGAGGAGGGGGAAGGGGGGAGGGAGGGAACAAGTGGAGTAGAACCGAGAATGACCCTGGAATCTCTAATGGCGTGCTGCCTCAGCGAGGAGGCGAAGGAAGCCAGGCGGATCAACGACGAGATCGAAAGGCAGCTCCGCCGGGATAAGAGGGACGCGCGGCGGGAGCTCAAACTGTTGCTTCTCGGTAAGCTGGCTGGTGGGAGGGGAGGGGAGGGGGGGCTGAATTCCTCCATCAGAAAGCGCTCTGTCAGGAGGAGGTGGTGGGCTACTAATGGGGGCTTCCCACCTGGGTGAAGTGGGCGGTTGAAGCCTCCTCTCCGTTTAAGGAGTGGAGTGCAGAGATTGGCGGCGGAGCAGCAGGGAGAAGGCCTGGCTGGCTTCCTGGGTCTAAAACCACCTGATTTAAATCACTGGGACCTGTTGGTATCGAGGGAAACAAATGCTCACCGCCTATTATCGCTGCTCTGATGGGAACCAGCCCATAAAGCAGGGCCAGCCCAAGGTAGAAGCGAAATTAGTAGCCTACACTATTTTTATTGCACAACCTGAACTCCAATTAAACATTACTGACACTAAGTAATTGAGTCCTTTTATTTAATAATTGTTATTATTAACCTCACACATGGAAGCAGTGTGGAGTTAAGGGTTTTATAGCGCTTTTTCAAGTCAGCGGACTTGACCAAAGTGCTTTACACCACAATCAGTGATTAACCCATTAATGTAAACACTCACACATTGATGATGGCAAACTACATTGTAGCAACAGCTGCCCTGAGGCTTACTGAAAAAAAATCACAATCAGTAGACAATACAGGGGAAGTGCCTTGGCCAAGAACACAACAACACTGAAAGCCAGAGGGCTTGAACCGTCAAATTTTTGATTTCAGGGCTCCATCCCACGCCACTGTCACTATTGTTTGATTAAACGTTAATTGGAGTTTACACCCTCTTAAACATGCCTACAGGTGACAGAGCAACCCACCTTGAGCAGCAATTATACTAAAATTGTAAAAAAAAAAAAAAAAAAAATTTATTTAAGATAAAAATCTTTTTCTTCTGTCAATATGCTCTATCGAGAACTCCTCAAGTGGAAAAGTTTTAGTTGCACCTGGTTTAATGCAGTAAAATATCTTCTTTAAGGAAACTTTTGCTATCCGATTATTAATCGATTAATCAAAAAAAAAGAATCGATAGATTAATCGATAAGAAAAATATTTATTAGTTGCAGCCTATTGTCATGTTGTTGGTCAAGAATAAGGAATCGGTTCATTCGTAAAAATTGGAATTAAGCAGCATTTTGAGAGCTTAGCATATAGCTGTGTGATCTGCTGAGAGATGTTTGGTGGATGGAAAAGACCTTTGCACATCTGGATTTGTTTCTTTTGCTTTTTTCCTTGATTACTCTCAAGAAGAAGGTTTTGTGTGTCTAGTTGTTTTGTTTCAGTAGATCTACAAATTTGATTGTAACCTTATATTGTTGGCCAGGTTTTCCAAAAATTGTTTAAAGGCATGGCAAAGTTAAATATTAATGAAAAAATAAAAACATGTTAATTTGCCTGCTTATCACCAAAGCTGAATAAGGGCAGACCGAGAATAGAAAATATTGGAACAGATTTCCTGCTAGAACTGCCTCATTTACCACGCTCCTTTGAATTTCAGTGTCCTTATCCTTGTCCAATAGTGATGACTCACTACTGACAGGATCTTACTGTGCCAGGTGAGCAATAGGGATTTTAAATCAGAAATGATTGAATTAAAATGGAAAGATTTCTCCAAAGCTGAAGTATTAATGTCTCCCAGCACGTAAATGGAAGTACTCAAATTCCCTCAAGGGTCAAAAATGTAAAACACAAACAAGAGTAAGCGATTATACCGTCAGGGCAAATGAGCAAAATAGAGAAAATAATGATTTACAGTTATTTAAAAAGAAAACTTGCTCAGGGAAAAAGATGTGCAGCTGTTCAGGATGATTTGACAGAAGTGATGTCCCATGCATATCTGTGCTTAAAGAAATAGAAGATTGTTATCAATAAAAGTAAATTAAACTGCAAATAACGACTTAAAACACTTATCTACATCCCTTACAACCACTTAAAGCTTTCAACATCAGGGGTCCGTTTCATGAAGCAGGTTTACCTAAAAAAATTGTCTCAATCTGAAAACAGGGAAACTCTGACTTTTCCGGTTCACAAACGGAGTTTATTCAACCTCTGTTTCAGTCACCGTAGTAACAATCCCCCCCACAGCTAACCTGGTTGATAGCAGGTTTTTTTCAGTAAACTCCTAGCGTCCTATGTCTCTGCTCTGATACAGCCAATCACGCTGTTTTATTTCCTGGGTTAGTCAGATTTTTGTCCTAATTTTGTTCACTAGGTCCGTTACACACATTAGGTTTTAAAAACAAGCACTGCATGTCCGTTTGACGAGGATCTTATTAAAGAATGACATCCCCATCAACTTTTTCACAGGGAATTGAATATATATAGGGAGAGGATTCTACAACTCAGTTGACAGGGCATGAGATTACTTGTTTTTGTTTTTTTTAATATGAGTAAGATGCTGATCATTTTATTTTTATTTAGTTATATCTAAAGTACCTTAACAACTTAAACCTAAATAGATTAATTAATTCCATGGGGGAAAAGGAATTACTTTAGGGTTAGGATTAGGATTCACTTGATGATAACCTAATGAGCCTACTGGCACAATCTGAAGCCATTCTATGGGATTTATAAGCATTTATAACGGCCATTTGTCTGCAAAAAGACACTTTACTGTGTAAAAGAAGACAGATTTAACGTGAGGAGGGACCCATGAGATAAACCACGGTTCTATATATTAAAACAACATTTGTATTATTTCAACAATAAAAAGATGTTTTTCAGATATTATAAATACATTTTCAGTCAAGCTGATAAATGTATGAAGGGCCAATTAAAATGTGTAAACATTTCTAGATATATAAAGCGTAATTGTTTTACGTTCTAAAATTCAATTTCTGCTACAAAAATATAATTTATAAAATATATTATTACAGTTAGGACTAGGAGTGTTAATATGATCAGGAAGAATCTTATTTTAGTGATCTACAAACAATAGATTGGAGTGCAATAAATGTAAAAATGGCTTGCCATAGTCCACTTCATATAAACTTACGCATTAACTCGAGGAACAATCTTCTCCTTCGCCACCCTCCTCTCCTTTGTAGCTGTAGCACTGTATGTCTATCTTAAACACATTCTTTTTTATTTTATTTTTTTGCATTTCTGCATTAAAATCTCTGGTTCCAGTCAGGTGAAATAGGCACCTACTGTTGCCTGTTGTCATGGTGACTCATCAAATCGGTGCTCCACTGATAAGGACTTTTCATAGTTGTTGTGCACGCTCTTAGCTCTCAGTGGACCTCGTTAAGATTGATTGAACTAATTGATAGCAATTGATAGTGAAACAGAACACTCAGTGTTCGAAAGTTTTGGCTAGATCAATTTAGAGTTGTGGATTTGAATCTGAATTTGTTAAACCTGCTTCATGAAACCGACCCCTGGAAAATGTATTTATTTTGAACGGTACAGTACATAAAAATAATACACTGGTATCGGGGTTGAGTTTTAGTTCTTGATGTTGGTTGGAAGCCCCCCAAATCAGATACTGTTAAGCGACTTATGCAGCCTTGGACGGGCTCTGCTTCAAGGGCTCATTCAGGTGCTGGGCTTATTTATGAGAATAACAAATGTTCGCTGGGCAAAGTCTGCACTTTATTGGGTGTAATCGAAACAGTTTTGCAGGTTAAAGCCAAACTCTGGCAATGATTATATCAGAGGACCACAGGACCGGCCTGGAGCCTTGCTGCACTTCAGTTAAAAGCATTTGTGTTTAACCACTCAGGCATTGTTGTGTACAGTATGACTTTTTTTTTTTAAGCCAAGTATAAAACGATGATCCGTGTTTATTAGACCTTGACTGGTGACAAGTATGGAGATATACAAAGGTTTAGATAGCCAGGGTTTTTCATTATTCTGTTTCTATGCTTTGGTTATTTCATTTAGAGATCAGAAAAAGTGTCTATGGAGCATATAATAACTCCTACCCCTCCTTCAACTGTTGTTGATCACCAAGGGTCAGCGTGCTAAATGTATCCTCTATACTTGTCCCTTAGTTGTATATATGTATATTTCATACTTTTATTATATGTCCAATTAAGAACATTAAAACAAAAAACAGCCTGACTAATGAACCGGCTAAGATTAGCTTATCTTAGCAAGAACAGAATGACTAAAAAGTAAAATATTCTGCAGAATTTGCATTTTCTTAAGCATTACTACTATATTTGCAGGTTTCTGTCACATTTTTATGCTTCAGTCTATATAACTGGATTAATGAAATATTTATGTAATTATTAAGGTAAGTGTTGCAGCCACAGGTGCCTTTTTTTAAATCTAAAAACATTTTATTTTGTATTCTCTCACGTTTTAAATTCAATATTGATAGGCTGGACAGGAAAGTTTTATCTTAGGTCAGTTGATTTTTCTTGAAATGGAATAAGAAAACAAGTGACTATTTGATTTTAAAATTAGGCCTGCACCTATCGATTGTATTATTAAGTGATTAAAGTGATTAATCCACAGTTTTTTTTTATTTAATAAAATAATAAAATAAATCTATAAGTAAATTTAAATGTTTAAAAAATAAGAATTTGTAATATAAAAAATACTTATCTGGCATTTTGAATAAACCGCAAATGGCTAAATATGTAAAAAAAAAAAAAAAAAACATGCTTATAAAATCTAATTAACCTTTAAAGGAGATATCTTTTTTTTTTCTCAAATATTTATAGTTTAATATTTGCTATAGGGAGGTTATTCTTTCATTAAATGGCTTCTTTTAGATTCCGTGTAGCCTGCCATTACTCTTGGTAATGTTTCAACTCAATTAGGAAATAAACAATTATTTCAATAATCGATTAATCACAATGACGTTGATTAATTGTTTCACCTCTTAATAAAAAAAAAAGCATTTCTCAATCAAATTGGCTTAACACTAAGTTTTTTTGGACCTTTAAAAATTTAACAAAACAATTATTTCATTTTTCTTTTTTAGTAACATTAAGGATTTTACCTGCAAATTTGTTTTTAAACTTAAATATCGATTTTATGAAACAGTTATTATGGCCTTTGAGTTATATTT